ATAGTATAGCCATTTCAGAACTGTCAATACATAGATGTCCTTATATTATGATAGTATAGCCATTACAGAACTATCAATACAGAGATGTCCTTTTATTATGATGGTATAGCCATTACAGAACTATCAATACATAGATGTCCTTATATTATAATATCATAGCCATTATAGAACTGTCAATACCTAGATGTCCTTATATCATGATAGTATAGCCATTACAGAACTATCAATACATAGATGTCCTTATATTATGATAGTATAGCCATTACAGAAATTTGCTTCAAAAAATAGGCGAGGCTAGTGTCGGGGTTATTGGGATCTGGTATAACAAACTTATAGAAATAACATTTCAGTCAAAATAATAGGCGAGGCTAGATTCAGGGTTATTGGGATCTGGTATTACAACCCTAATAGAAATTACATTTCAGTCCTTACAGAAGTTACATCTCACCTGAAAAAATAGGCGAGCTTATGTCAGGGTTAGGGGGGCCTGGTATTTAAACCCTAACTGAAATAACATATCACTTAAAATGATAAGCTAGACTTGTGTCAGGGTAAGGGGATCAACCTGATGTACTCTAATATTTAAATCTTTACTCTGACATCAGACGAGGCCAAAGTTTAGTTGTACCATTAGTGGCATACTCGAAAGGTATGTTTCAAGACGAGGTTCATGTCAATGTATGAGAAACATAATAGTACAACCTCAATAGTAAGTGCATTTCAACAGATACAAAGATTGTAAGACGAGTGCTAGGATAAAGAAAGTAGACTATTGATGAGACGAGATACTGGATTTCGGATATCAAAACATTTATATTAGTTGATCTATTCAAAGACAAGATCGGTCATAAGCAAGGTAGTACAACTATTGTTACATGATATAACTTTATGTTAATAACCTGCAGTTAAGCTGATGAGAATTCACACGCAATGCTTAAATAAATTACCTGATACGTCTCATTATCAACACTGATCGTTAATCATCTAGGCTCATATTGTCCAAAGCCTTGTCAGTTTACCTGAATGATAAAAAAAAAAATCATAAAATGTTCTTGAAAAAAACTTTTGTGTCATGATCATCATCTTGAAAAGCATAATTTTCAATTCAAAAACATCAGTTACTGTCTGTTCACTTTAGCAACTGAAATACAAATTCAGACAAAAAGTTTCCGTTGATATTTCGAGAAAATAACCAGACATCGACATGTTGGGACCTGCCAGCACCATGTCACTTGGTTTTGACACGAATGTAACATTGTTGTATTAGAGTTTACCAGTCGAGTCTAGTTTCAAGGACGAACATGTCAAAATACAACACAGATTATTTGTTGAGTAATTGGAAACTTCTGTTTTTCTCACGCGTTTTTGTTCTATGTGTTTACGTAATGCAATATGACAGAGCAATGTGATTTAACAAAGGGTCAAGCATTAACTAGACACTATCAGAAAACATGTCAATAAATCTTTAAAAAAAACCTGGAGATACAAATAATCTTAAAATGACGCTTATTTGGTACAATTACAATTGACTTTTCATAGTATCTGGGTTATAAATTGTTTATTTGACCTGTATAGGTAGGCTATTGGTGGTCGCTTGGCGCAGTGAATAGCGCACCCACCTTTTCCCAAGACGGCCTAGCCTGATGTCGAATCCAATTGACATATATAAAGTCAATAAAATCTGATGAAATGAAACTGCTAAGTTTCCTAGATCAGACATGAACCGTTTTTGGTTATCTGCCGTACTACAGGTGCTCTCTCTTGGTACTCCCTATATCCAGCCACATTACAGGGCTCACCCTGGTCCTAAAAAATCGGTAGCCAAAAAAGTAGCCATGTTTGAATTTAAGTAGCCAATTTATTTTTAAACAGTGGCCATACTTTCTCGGCCTCAATCCATTAAAATCATTCAATATTTAATATTTTTTGAAGTGCAAATCTTAATGATTAAGACCCTTTGTGCGTTTCCATTCGGTCACACAAGAGTGAATAATATATTTTTGAAAAACTTGTTTCATAATAATTTTACGATAGATAAAGTTTTCATTTACTTTCATTTATAGTTATATCAGGCTTCTATAAATATGAGTATTTCTGCACATGATGGTATTTATTCCATTAAATCTACAGATTTTTAACATACATTGACAGTATATGAGATTGAGTCCTGGTTCCAAACTCTTATGAATGTTTTTATAAAAGTGAAAAGGGACTACAGAAACCTAACAGATGATACGATGTTTCCCATTAAAACTATAAAATAGGTTAAATATAACCTTATTTGCATTTGACCTATTTTTGTCTGGAATCTATTACAACGGTACTTGACATCCTTCAATCTTTTTTTTCTCATGTTCATTCATCATGTGGCGCATATTTCATCAGCATTAAGACAGTTTGGTAGTTAAGTTCATTTGAGAAATCGTTATTGTTATTTTTGTGTCACCTCAGGTCTAGGTACTGGAATAATTGATCAAAATAATGATACATTTGAGAGACCTCTTTATTTTTTTTAACTTATCTAGTTTTTGTAAAAGAGGAAGGCCGTGTTATTTATGATGCCATCTCCGATGAGCCCTAGAAGGACAAAAGAGATGTATGATGCAGTGTAACTTTTTTTTATACTGTGTCTATAACCTAAACCTTTAAAGGTGTATTCAGCTCTGTAGTGTGTGTGTGTGTGTTACGTTCATGTTTTGAGATACAAGGTGGTAGACTCTGTTGGTGGATTTCTTAGTCCCCGATGTTTTTGGTAACCTTGATGGCCACAATAATCTCTTTCGAGTAGTGGCGTGTCTCACAATATACACACTTTAGTAATTATTTAATTTTTACTTAACCATTACTTCTCTAAAATGTTAAAACTTAAAAAAAAATGTTTACGCAAACACCATCCCCCAACTTTTGTGTCAATATTTGGATTTTCAGCGTTTTAGCCCTTTGCATCACTGATGAGTCCTAGAAGTACGAAAAACCAATATGACACAGTGCAATTCATTTAAGCATACTATATCTATTACCAAAGTTTTAAAGGTACGTTTACCTCTTTGTGTGTTATATGTCATCTATTTAAAACTGATACAGTTAAGGTAAGCCCGAACCTTTACTGTTAAACGCGCTGAAATCAAAGAATAACAAATAAAAACGCTAACCTGCCTCTTTTTTGTAATATGAAACTGTTACATTGATCAAAGAGGTTAGAACCAGACAGACACAATGATGTTTACTGATCTTGTGTAGTTCATGTCCTGCTCGACCTCAGCTAAATCCCACATGTTCTGGTGATTTTAGAGATTAACTCCCGTTTCAGTTGGAATACAGGTGGTCGGGTCAGTGACCACACAGCTACCTGTGTCTGTGACCACAGGTGCAAATTATTTATCTCCTGATGTTAGCGGTGTCCATTCCACTAATTATTTACAAGTACAAATAATGTTCTTGTCGCCTGACAACTTTGGACGTTTCACCTAGGATCAAAGAAAAAGTGGATATCTCTTGCTAAAATCTATTCCGTTCTCTTATTGGCTTAGTGCTTAGTTTTCTTTACTTTACAAGGAAAATATATCT